GTAAATAAGGGATAGTATTAGTCTCTACCTATGAAGCTTATGGGAAAGACTTATTTGGGTGATGCCATTAAATCATCCCCACAGCACTGAAGTTTAAAGAAATTACCCCCGCGTCTAGCAGACCTGGCCTGGGTTCCCTCTCTAAACACTCCTCTGCCCTCTCCCTTTGCTCACTCGTACTTTTCCTACAATATACCAAATTCTTTCCCACCCCAGGGCCTTTGCATGTGCTGTTTCCTCTGCTAGGAATACTCCTCGTCTAGCTCTCCACACAGCTGACTAAGTCTCCTTTTCCTTCTTCAGGGCTCAGAGCAAATACCGACTGCTCTGTTAGGAGAGGCCCTTCCTGACTCTCTGCCAACAGGAGCCACAGATACAACCAGTCATAGTCACATGGCCAGATGTTTCATTTTATTTCGTTCTGTGCTTTATCACAATATGAAAGTCAATTCCCTGAGGCAGAGGCCTGGACACTGCTGGTACCGAGTTCGTGCCCTATAAATTCGTATTTCAATAAATACAATCGGCCCTTGAACAACTTGGGAATTAGGGTTGTGCCGACCCCCCCATGCAGTTGAAAATCCACATATAACTTTTGACTCCCCCAGAACTTAACTACCAATAGCCTACTATTGACTAGAAGCTTTACCAATGACATACACAGTCGATTAACACGTATTTTGTATATTATGTGTATTATGTACTGTATTCTGGCAATGAAGGAAACTAGAGAAAATAATGTTATTAAGAAAATCATAAGGAAGAGGGGCACCTGGCTGACTCAGTCAGTAGAGCGTGCGACTCTTGATCTCGGGGTCGTGAGTTCAAGCCCCAAGCTGGGAGTAGAGCTTGCTAAAAAAAAAAAAAAATCATAAAGAAGAGAAAATACATTTACAGTGCTGTACTGTATTTATTGGGGAAAAAATCTGCATCTAAGGGGACCTGCGTGTTGTTCAAGGGTATTTACTGTGGCATATTAGACAAGAATGCTTCTTTTGAAGGAAAATACAGGCAAGAATAAGATTGTAAATGTTGAGGAGAGGATGGGAAATTCTAAATAGACAAGGTTTCAGAGAAGGTTTCACTGACATGTGACTAAAGCCCAGAAATTGGTAAGGAAGGAAAATTGGCGGCGGGTGGGGGAGGTGTGGGGAGCTTTCAGGCAGAGGGCACAGCAAATGCAAAGGTCCTGAGGTAGGACCATACCTGATCTGCTCCAGGAATGGCAGAGAGACCAGTGTGCCCGGAGTAGGGGACTGAGGCAGAAAACGGAGTGGGGTGAGGTCTGAGAAGGAACAGGGACCAGGTGATGCAGGGCTGGGTGGGCTGTGATGAGGTCTTCAGCTTTTCCTTGGAATGCAATGGAAGCCAGGGTGAAGTGGGGTCCTCCAAGTTTGGGGACTCTGATCTGACTTGGGTGTTAGCAGGATCCCTGTGACTGGGGTGCAGGGACACCACAGAGCATGTTGCTTGCTGCGATAGTTCAGACAGGTGACAATGGTAGACAGGACCAGGGGGAGGCAGTAAAAGGAGGTGCGATATATGTATCTATGATGTAGAGGATGGTTTTACGTATATACAGAGCATGTAGGGAAGGGTGGAGGGTAAAGAGGTCAAGGGAGCTCCCAAGCTCCTGCTGTCCATCCTCATACTAGCCCACTGGGGGAGCCCCCGGCACGGCCCGCAGCATCCTTGGGCTCCGGGCCCCTGGCTGGGCAACCTCGAAGCCAGGGAGGGCTGAGGTGTTACCCACGTTGATGTCCCCCATTATCTCCCCCAGACTACGACACTGTGCAGACGGTGGGCATGACTCTGGCCACTATATTGTTCCTGCTGGGCATCCTCATCATCATCAGTAAGTGTGACCCTTTTTCTAGGCTCCACAGCGCCTCAAAGAGGGCTGCTTCGGGTCCCTGGGCACCTACGGTTTCCCTGCTGGCTTCTGTCCAGACCCTTATGTCCTGTCTCGTTGTGTGTCTCTCTCTCCTAACAGGCAAGAAGGTGAAGTGCAGGAAGGCGGACTCCAGGTCTGAGAGGTCTGGCAGCAGTAGGGAGAGAGAGGAGAGGGGCGGGAGCAGCCTGGGGTGCAGGGGTATTTCCCCAACAGAAGGGCCCCAGGGTCCCCCCACATCTTTCTCATGAAGCCTGTGGCTAATTGGATTTCCTGATGCTTTTCTCTCTGATCCGTTGCTTCCACAGTCCAACATGCAAATCCTGTAAGTCGGAGCTTCCCTCCTCAGGTGAGGATGAGGAAGGGTGTGGTTCTGGGAGGAGGAGGGATGGGGGCAAGAAGGGGGGCCGCACTGGGTGTCCCGTAGAAAAATGCCACCCATGAATGGACCAGGGGAACTGCAGTGGGAGCTGAGGCCCCACCGATGGAAGAGGTTAACCCACAGAGAGTCAGTGGGATGTGGGAAATGTCCTAAAAAGTCCGCGGAAGCTTCCCAGAAACAAGTGGAGAAGCTCCGGGAAAGCAAGGTTGAACTAATTCCCCAGGGAGAAACCCACAAGTCTGTAAAGGGGGGGGCACAGTCCAAAGGGGGGTAGAGCTGAGCACTACAGGAGGCAGGAAGATGGGATATTTTCCAGACCTTATTGCCCAGGTGGGAAGACCGAGGATGAAATGATCAAGAAAAATCAAAGAGACGGGTGCCCGGCTGGCTCAGTGGGGGGAGCTTGTGACGCTTGATCTCAGGGTTGTGAGTTCGAGCCCCACGTTGGGTGTAGAGAGTACTTAAAAAAAGGAAAAAGAAAGAAAAAGGGAGGGAGGGAGGGAGGGAAGGAAAGAAGGGGGGAGGGAGGAAAGGAGGGAAGGTATTTTGAATAATTGTATCAAAATAACAAAAGGAGAGACATAGGATACAGATTTAAAAAACTGATTTTGGAGAAGAGAACACAGGGATGTAGAGCATGACGATGGAAAATACAGGCAAAGGATGAAGCGTGAAGAGGATGTAGGGTGTGTGTTGGGGGGTAAGGGGGGAAGGGTGAAGAGTGTGGAGGGAGTGAGGGGTGGGGAGGAGGGGGTGGCAGGCATGGAGAGGTGAGGGGTATGAGGGGTGGGAGGGAGTGAACCGTGTGAAGGGGGTGGGGGTGTGAAGGGGTGAGGGGTGGGGAGGAGGGGGTGGCGGGCATGGAGAGGTGAGGGGTATGAGGGGTGGGAGGGAGTGAACGGTGTGAAGGGGGTCGGGGTGTTAAGGGGTGAGGGGTGGGGGAGTGTGAGCAGGTAGGGGTGTGGAGGGGGCAGGGGTGGGGAGAGAGGGGTGAAGGAAAGGGTGAAGGGGTGAAGGAGGGGTGAAGGAAGATGGACAGAGATTAGGATGTAGGAGGGAATAAACTGTAGATGAAAGATTGTGACTCCTTGGGGGTGTTAATTCAAATTATGTAAAAATATCTTGACCTGTTTTTAGTGGGACTTCATTCTTTCCAGGGACTTACACAAATCAGAAATGGGGATCTCTCTGCCTCTCATAAAAGGTCTCAGAACTAAAAAGTGGGCCTTGGGGTACTCAATGCTTGGGGGGATTTGGTGTAGAATTTGATGTGTTTTGTTTCATGTTCTTTTCATGAGATTTAAAAACCCTAATGGGGGTTTGTGGATGACTTTGTGGATGGCTGGGGGGGGGGGGGGCTAGCACCTGGGGCAAGGTCTCAGAATATGCCCAGGACTGTGACCCACTCCAGTTGAGTGATGGTCCCAAGTGGGTGCGAAACAGGGGAATTCCGGCTGTGTCCAAATGTTGGGGAGACAGGGTGTGGGCCTGGGATGGGGGTGTAGCAGGAGGCTGGGGACACATGACGGGGATGGAGACTCCAGGGGGACACCCCAGAAAGGCCCAAGTTGGGCCAGGGGTCTCCAGCTTCATCACAAGTGTGTTCCTCTCCATGACAGTGTCCTGTGGGGCAGGACAAAAGCCACACAGGTGTCCCTAAACGGATCAGGGTGTGGGGAGGCAAGTCATTTCCCAGTGTTAGCTCAAGGGTGACAGTCCCTGCGGGTCTGGCTTCCATGGGAGGAGGGGGGCGGGGGCGCACTGGCTGTGGGAAGGGGCTGCTTGCACAGGTGCAGCAGGTGGCTGACGCTCCGTCTCTCTTTCTCTCCACCCGCCCCCCCTGGTCCCCAGCCCCTGGAGGTGGCGGCGTGTAAAACCAGCCCCGGGCACCTCCACTGCTGTCCCTGCCTGAGTGCGGAAGCCTGAGGACCGGGTGGAGGCGGTGGGGACCCCAGCCTTGCGCCGGGGAGCGCTCCCCCGAATGAGCCGTCCCACCCACCCGAGGCTGGTGCCGCTGCACCCCGCTGCCCCTCCCCAGGCCTTGGTAATGACGACCCCCCGAAAGAGCCCGTCTGCATCCCAGATCCAGGGACTCAGGCCTCCAGCTCCTGGGGTCCGGGAGTCCAGCCCCAGCCCCCCAGAATCCCCACGTACTGCTCCCCTGCACCTCCCCGTCTCCCCTCCGAAGATCGGTTTCCCTGCACCCTTGGAGTCTGTGTCTTGAGCTTAATAAATGTGCATTTGGTTTTTTCCCCTGTTCTGTCTGTGAGTTCTCATCTGTGGGGACAAAACGGGGGAGAGGGCAAAACCGAACCTTGGGGGAGCTCTCTCTCTCCCATCCCCAGACTCGCCCCCTCTTTCTTCCTCCCCTCCCCCAGCGCCCCAGTGGTCACCGCCTGTCTCAGAGACCCGGGAGTTTCCCCCCCCCTCCTCAACGCCCCCCCCCCCCCCGCCCCCTCCCGCCCCTTCCCCGTTCTCCCCCCCCCCCCCCCCCCCGCGCCCAGCCGGGAAACCCAGAGTAGACACCCCGCCCCCGCTCCCCCGCCTCCCCAAAGGAGCCGCACCCACCAAGACCTGCGGGCGATCTCCCCCGCCTCGCTCCCCCAGCGGGTGGGTGGAGGCCCCTAACCGGCCTCTCACCCCTGCCCCCCATCGCCCTCAGCGTCTCCCCCTCCTGCTCCCACCGCGGGCTCTGAAGCCAGGAAACCCGAGAGGAAATGACTGAGCCCGTCTCGGTCCCCGCCCGCCAGCTCTCCCCTGGCCACACCCTCCGCCGGGACGCAGCCGCCGCCGCTGCCCTCTGTCCACGAGGCTGCCGGCTTGGGACCCCCCGGCTCTGCCGTAAGTCTCGCCTGCGATCCGCCGGCGCCCGCCTCCCCTCTGCCCAGGGGCCGGGCTCAGGTGCCTGGAGGACTGCTCTCTTCGGTCGGTGCCTCTCGGCCCCCCACTCATGCTCACGTCTCCCCGCCTGCTCTTGGGCACTGCGGTGGGCTGCGGGCGCCTCTTCCTCCTGCCTCAGTCTCCCCAGCTCTCCGCTATCGTTTTCGGGCCGGGTGTCCTAGAGGTGCCCAGCATCCTGCTCTATTGTCCTGAGGCGGCGAGGCCCCTAACACCAGCTCACTTTTTCCTCTGAGATCAGGAGCACATTACTCATTCTTCCTCTTTCCCCTCCTTGCTGACTCCTCGCCTCTGGGGACAGCCCCGGAGGGAGGCACCAGGCCCCCTGATCTACTCCTGTGCCCTGTACAGTCAGTCTTGGTGGGGTAAGTTCTTCTCAGCTCCAGGGGTGTCCCTGTGCAGTGACTGCTGCTAGAAGCCCCATTTGGTCTGATGCTTCTTGTTTTCTCTGGGGGCCTGCGGCCATGGAAGAAGGGGGTGGTTGCCGGGGACCTCCCTCCACTTCTAGAACCCTCCCTCTGCCCTGGAAACCAGCTGTCAGCCCAGGCAGGGGGTCCTTGAAGCCAGAGGTGCTTGCTCTGGGTAAAGAAGGGGCTGCAAGATCCCCAGAGGGGGCTGGTGTGTGTGTGGGGGTTGCTGCCCCGGGGGGGGGGGGCTGCCTCAGTGACATCATGGCTGATCCCAGCTCCGGCTCGCCCCATAGATGTCGCCCTCTGGTCGCCTGTGTCTCCTCACCATCGCTGGCCTGATTCTCCCCACCAAAGGTAAGGCCGGCCCTTGTGCCCACTCTTCCCCAGAGTGACTCACCTGGAGTGCCCTGGTGGGTGGGTGGGCACCTGTGGATTTGGATGCCCTGCCCTGTGTCTTCACCCTCCTACTGAGCCAGCACCAGGAAGTGGGGTCTTGATGAGGGGGCCAGGGTTACACCCTCTTTGGAACACCTCGCCCCTGGGTGGCCGCTTCCAATGAGTCTGGCCAGAGCCTGTCCTGCTGAGCATCCTCCATTTCAGTTCCAAGAAGAACTCACTGAGTTTGATTTGGCGGGGAGATGGGTGTCAGTTTTCTACTGAGCAGCCAGGAACCCTAGGCTCCCAGCAAAGCAGCTCCCTGGATACCCGGGTGATACACGAGTAAGCAAAGGGGGTGAGCTGGGGCCAGTCCAAGAGTTGGAGGTGTCTCACCCCTGCCTGGGCAGGGTTTCCTGAAGGCAGTGCCCATGGTGGGCATTTGCAGGTGCTTTCTACATGGCAGGTGGTGCATATGTGAACTCATTTCGACTTAAGCTCTACTCCGTTATACGTATGGTCATGCCCGTTTTATGGATGAGGATACTGAGGCTCAGCAAAGAAAGTGCCCTGTGCCAGAGGCTAGTGAGTAGTGAGGCTGGGATATGACCATCTTTCTTGCCTTCAGAACCCGGGACATAACCTCCACTGAAGCTGCCCCATTTGTCTTTGATAAAATGGTTTTCACGTATTCTTTCAATCATTCACCAAGTATTCACTGAGCAGCTACTATGTGCCAGATCTTATTCTATGCACTGGGGAAACAGCAACGCATAAAACAGGAGCTCACATTCTAGTTGGGAAAGACAGGCAATAAACAATCCATCAGTAAATTATATGGCATGCTAGGAGGTGGTAAGTGCTATGGAGAAAAACAGAGCAGCGTAATGAGGATTGTTTAGACGGGGTGGCCAGGGAAGACCTCACTAGAAGGTGACATTTGGGCAGACACTTGAAGGAGATGAAGGAATGAGCCAAGCAGGTATCTGGGGGATGAGTGCTGTCCAGTGGGTATGAGGAAGAGCAGGGAGGCCCCGTGTCTGGGCTGGGGTGAACAAGGGCGGGGCGGGAAGAGGAGAGCTAAAAGGGGTGACAGGAAACCAGATGGACGGGGGGGTGGGGGGGCCCCATGAGTACTTTGGCTTGTATTAGGAGCAAGGAGGGGGCTCTGCACCAGCAGGGCCTTGACCTGACTCAGGGGTTCACAGGCCCCCCCTGGCTGCAGGAGGGGAGCAGACTGCAGGGGGCAGGGATGAAGGCAGGGAGCCCAGGGAGGGGGGTCCAGGCCAGAGCCGAGGAGGCTGGGCCAGGGCGGGAGCAGTGGCTGTATCCAGCGCTGACTGCGTATCAGGGAGTGGGGGAGACCCTTTCCTCTGTGGTGTCCTTTTGCCCTCTCCATAGCTCTGAGAAGCAGATTCAGTTAGTATCTCCACTTTGCAGACGAGACAGCTGAGGCTCAGAGTTCACCCGCTCCAGGTCACATAGCGAGGAAGTCGTTGGAAGCAGAATTTGAGACCACAGCCCCGGCTGACTTTAGGACGTGGGTTCACTAGGCTAAATCGCCTCTTCCATCCCACAAGGATGGGCAGGGCGGGGGGCTGGAGGAAGGATGCTGGGCCTCAGCATTTCTTAAAACACTTCCAGGACCATGGACGGATACCCCCAATCAAGTGTTTGTCTGTCTGGTGCTTCCACCAGCATGTCCTGAGCTACCACCCACAGCTTCAGAGGGGAGGGCAAGGTGGGGTTTTGGTGAGAGAAGGGGGACCAGAGGCTCCTCTCTGACTCCTAGCCCTTGATTTCCCAGGACATATATTGAAGGAGGCCACATCCGTTTCTCCAGCAGACCCAGTTCATGCCCTGACGCCGGCCCCAGGTGAGGAAAGGGGGCTGGCTCTATCAAGATCCTGTCACTGCAAATAACAACAGCCACACAAAATCTCAAGCTCGGACCACTCAGGAATTTTGGGTTTGTGCAATCGGAAAGTCTGGTGATAGGCCTTCAGGCATGGCTCGGTCTAGGTGCTCAAATGATGCTATCAGGAACCTGTCTCGATCTCCCGGTTCTATCTTTCTTGTGTTGACTAGACTCTCCTTTTATGGGGCCAAGATGGCCCCTCGAGACCTGAGGCTTCCATCCTCCCTGCTAAGAAGCCAGAGGAAAGCGGATTTCCCCTTCCCCAATCCAGCAATAGTCCCACAACAGAGCGTCCCTGACCAGGCTCAGGTGACAAGTCCAACAGAGAGCTGGGATCCTTGTGGCCACAGGCCAAAGCTGATTGGCCAGACCCCAGTCTCAGGTTCAACCTCCAACAAGGCTGATGCCAGCCTCACTGAATGAGGTGGACTCAGGGAAGGGTAGTTCATAAAGAAAGTTCCAGGGCCTCTTACCAGAGGTGGATGGATTCTGAGTAGGAGGATGCGCATCTGTGGGAGGAGAGATGCAGGCATGGCAGTTGGGCCGTTAGCAAATGGCTTGGTTAATTAAGTCATTTTAATTATATCAAAATTGAGTTGCTACGGAAATCCCACCACCACCCCGTTCCTCCACCCATGGACCTTCTCCACATCTTCTCTCTCTTCTCTCCCTGTTTCCGGACTCCAGACGCAGTCTACCCAGAACCCCAGTCCACTGCTCAGACAACCCTGCAGACTGGTGGTGAGTGAGGCAGGGGGAGGGGGCGGGAGCCTGGGCCTGGGACAGACACGCTCCCTCTCTTCCTCTGACACTCCGGGTCCTTGCTTACTCACTTCAGTCCCCCAGCTCTGAATCCTCTGGCTTACTTTGTGGTGGGGCAGCCAGCCACCCACCTCCACTTCTTTAGAAACAAATCTTTTGAAATCATGAAAAATAATATGCATATCGAAATGTACAGAGCCCATAAACGTAGAACTAAAGCAGATTATTCTAAATTGAACCCCTGTGTAACCGGCACCCAGCTCAAGGAATAGACCTTTGCAAACACTGCAGCAACTCCCTATGTGCCAAGGCCACTCCTTCCTTCCTTTAATCTTGGTATCTTTTGCCGTTTTTGAGTTTTCAAACCAGTTTTGAACTGTTTCTTGGAGTATAAGATAATTCAAAAAGTGCTCCCCGATTTTCTCCATGAATATTTAATGATACCATAGTACATGCCCACATTGTGCTGGGAAGTCATGCAGATATCATAGGCAAGATGAAATCCCTTGGTCGATCCCCATTCTGTTCTCTCCCCTTGTCTCTGAGAGGCCCCCACCGCTGGCGCTGGATGGGGAGTAGCCCCCCAGTGATGCGATTCACTCATTGTTCCCCCTTCCCTCGCTCAACTGACCTGAGTAGGAACCACACGGGAGCAGGAGGAGGAGATCCAGACCCCGAAAATGGAGGAGACCCAGTCCCCGCAACCGACAGGACTGCATGTGCTTTTAGCAACAGATCCGAAGACCGTCAAGAGCAGCCCAGAAGGTAGGGCCTGGGACTAGAAGGGCAACATACAAATTTTGTTTAATTCTCTATCTGGGTCAGCAGTTCCCCAAGTACATTTCTCAGAGCACCCGTTTGGGGAATTGTTAATACATTTTCAAAAAACTCTGTTTTGATTTGCGGTCAAAGGTATTTGGGAAACTCTGAGTTAAAGTTAAACACATTTCTTTTTGGAGTCTTATTAATGCTTATTTGCAGTAAGCATCCCCTACAGGAGCTCCTAGTATGCCTCATTTTCCAAACCTGATGGACATGGGACTCTCTTTTGTTCAGGTTGCTTTATGGGGCTGGTACCTGGAAATGTGGGTGTAGGTGTTTCCTTTGTGTACCTCTTCATGTTAGAGCAGGAGCTTTTCAGTTGCAAAATACTGCAAACGCAACTAAAAATAAAATAGATTTATTGGCTATATGTGTTCTGTAAAGTCCAGATATGCCATTTCAGGAACAGCTGGATCAAGGTGCTCAAACACTGTCATCATAACTGACTTGCTCTCTCTCAGCTCTGTTGTCTACGTTCTCAAGTTCTCAAGTGGCTTTTCCCCTCTTGGCGGCAAAGATGGTCCCATAGTTCTATTTAGGTCACAAACCTAGCAGATAGAGCCCATCTCTTTCTCATGTCTAGCCCAAGGCATAGAAGTGACTCTCACTGGCCCAGCTGGGGTCACATACCCATGTCTGGCCAAAGGGAGTCAGGGAAATGGATCCTCTGACTGGTTAGGCCCGAGTCTTGTGCCCACTCTGGGGCTGGGGAGCAGGGTCAGCCCTGTCTGAACTACAAAGGCCCAGAGTCAGGGAAGAGGTAGTTCCCCTCAGGACCAGTGAGTAGTTAACATTTCAGAGACGTGGTAAAGGCAGCTGAGCCGAGGTAAAGGCAGCAGGTGGGCTCCAATGCCTGTCTGACCCATATGTGAGGAGCTGCCCCTACTGGAAAATACTGTAGCTTGAGCCATTCCCAGGCTGACCTGTATGCACAGTGGTGCAGACTGGGCACTGCACAAGAGCATCACCTCTAAGGCCATGTCATTCCCCTTGTGGATTTTTATAATCGTTATAGTTTTCCAGTGATGGCGGTAAAGCATCTAATTCTGACAGAGCCTGTCTATTAAAACAATTTTACCGCAGATGGAAATACAGTGTCTTGGAGAAGAGAATTTTTCTATTTTCCACAAAAGGGCAGGTGGGGGGGTATAGTGACTGTGTCCACACTTCCCAATTGAGAAAACATTCTCACATCTCCAGATTCACTTGCTGTGAGTCCGTGTTGACCCAAGTTACTCTGTGTTATGATATCATGTTCCTGATTATATGGGACAGAAATTCAGCCGGGCTGAGGGGGCCATGGAGCCAAGAGGTAAAAGGCACCTCTGAGCCCCCGGCTCACTCAGAGCCTGAGCACGAACGCCCCCAGCGCCTCTCTCCCTCCTTCATCTTTGTTTCTCTTGTGCTGGATCTTGTTTTCCGCCTGGTAAAGAAATGGTTCCTGTCATCTGCAAGCTCAGAGCTCTCAGACTTCACCTAGCTGCCCCTCCGAATGTCTACTTGGAATGTGGAAGGTCCCAGGGAAGAAGGAGCCTGGGTCACATGCTCCCCCTTGTGGCCTGTGTTACAATAGAACCAGATGGACTGGGGAAAGCGGGAGCAGGCCCCGCAAAGAAAGGGGAAGCTGGTCCCAGGAGGGAGGGGTGAGAACGAGCCGCAGCTATGGGGTAACAGCGACAGCCAACATTTGCAGAGACTTTGCTCCCTGCCGGGCCCTGTGCTAAGCTTTCCCGCCCTCACTCATTCACTGCTCACAGCCACCCTGCCTGGTAGGAACTGTAGAAACCTCATTTTACAGGAAAGCAACCGGGGCCCAGAGAGGTTACTCTGCCGGCCCTAGGCCACACAGCCCAAAGCGGCAGAACCAGAATCTGAGCCCAGGCTCTCTAGCACTGGCGTGCCTGAGCACTCCGCAGCACCGAGGCTGGCCTTTACATTCTCTGTGGTCTCCGCACGTCTGTCCTTGCTGCTGGTCTGGATTGAGCCTTCCCTTGACCAAAGCTTTCCCGAACATCTCGTGATCCTCGCTTGTCAGTTCATACTTAAGAAGTGAGGTGCTGCGGCGCCTGGGTGGCTCAGTCTGTTAAGCGGCTGCCTTTGGCTCAGGTCATGATCCCAGGGTCCTGAGATCGAGCCCCGCGTCAGGCGGGCTCCCTGCTTCTCCCTCTCCCTCTGCCCTGCTCATGCTCTCGCTCTCTCTCAATCCTGGTGCTGGGCCCGTGTTCTGGAGGTGCCCTGCCTGGCTCAGAAGGATACTATCCATTGCTTCCCTGATTACGAGGCAGCCCTGGGGGAGGGGGAGGGGGGCTGGGACAGCTGGTCTTAACCTGGGAGTGCAGGCTCATTCAGTATTTCCATACCTGCCATTCCTTGCTGTCCCCAGGGTAGGAGTGGGGGGGTTGCCATGCCTGCCTACTGAGTGTGTAGATGTGGAGGAGAGTGTCTCCTGGGTACAGACATTCCCGAGACGTGGTCATCCCTTGTCTCCTCCACGACTCACTTCCTCCCTCTGCCACCTTCTAGCCACGTCCTCTGCCAAACCCACTAAAGGCACCACGCTCTCCAAGAAGCAGGCTCCAGGCAAAGGCGTCAGGCCGGACCCTGTCCTCGGGCCAACTGGTCAGTAACTCCCTTCCCAGACTGGAAACTGGCTATTTCCTCTTCACTCTGTATTTCTAGCACCTGGAACCCTGCCCGGCATGAAACAGTCCTCTGTAAACATGTGTTGGGTGGATACGTGAGTTCAAGGCTGGAAGAGACTGGTGGTGGTATAAGGTAGATACCCAAGAAATGTCTGGATAGACAAATGAATCCATGAATGATTGCAGCGTGCAAACCACCCTGATGCTCGGTGGCTTAAAATGACAACCGTTTATTTAACTCCCAAGGCTGCAGTTTGGAAGTTTCGTCTGGGCTCAGCTGAGTGGTTCTTCTGGTCTCAGCTGCCTTACTCATGCATCTGAGATCAGTTTGGGGGTGAGCAGGGAGCTCTGTCTCCAGGACACCTTGATCTGTCCCCTTGTGGTCTTATCGTCCACTTCCCCCCCAGCTAACCCCACTGAACCGGTGGAAATGATATGTCCACAGGTCACATAGAGAATTCCTTCATTCAAAACATATTCACGAGCACCTACTATGTTCTAGGTGCCAGAGATATAGCAGTGAACAAGGCAGATGAAAATCTCTTCTCTCATGGAGCAGACATTCTAGTGGGGCATAGAGATAATAAATAATAATTATAAGAATTATGTATCAGGTGGTTTAAAGCTGCTATCAAGAGAAATAAAGCAGCATTAGGGGCAGAAGTGACTGGAGAGTATTTTCCATAAAGGGCCAGGGAGAGCGCCCTGAAAAGGAGCTGAGGGGGAATTGTGTGAATGTCTGGGCAGGGGTGTTCCAGGCAGAGGCAGCAGCCAGTGCAAAGGCCCTGAGGTGAGAGGGGCCTGGCATGGCCACCAGCAGGGCGGCCAGCGGGGCTGGAGCATCTGGTGAGCAGGGCAGTGAGAAGCTGAGGTACAGGGGTGGTGGAAGCCACATGATGTGTCATATGAGGCTTTGGTCCTAAGTGTCCCAAGGCAGAGACCCAAGTCCCTCCCTTCCTGACTCCACCATTCACTACTTCACTCCACAGTTTTTGCTGAACTCTGACTTGCTCCCTGTCTGTCCCCCCAGGTTCCAGTGAGGAAAACCCCTTCTCCTATGGTAAGTTACCCATGGGAGGATGTGGGAAGAGGGAGGGAGAGAGGCAACTCTTGCCATACTCTGTCGTTTTTCTCTCTGCAGATGAGAACACTCTCCGGAAGCGGGGGCTGCTGGTCGCAGCTGTGCTGTTCATCACAGGCATTGTCATCCTCACAAGTGAGAATCGGAGCTGGGGGAGGCACCAAGCCTGGGAGGGAGGAGGCCTTGGCTTGTACTTTGACTCGTGGGATCAGTTCTTGAAGCCCCCCCTCCTCAGGCAGAGTTGTCTTAAATGAAGCATATTAGCTACAGGTCCATATAAACCACGCCGGAAGTCAGCGGCTTAAAATGATTACCATTTACTTAGGGCTCAATTGTGCCCTTTGGAAATGTGGGCTGGGCTCAGCTGGGTGGTTCTTCTGGTCACAGCAGGATGCCACAGCAATGGGGAGCCGTGTCCCCACAGCTTGGAGGGGTGACAGGAGGGAGTGGTGGTGCCAGGGGCTGGTGGGAGACAGAACTGTAGGTGGGGGCCACTGGCTTAAGCTTTGGCTCTGGGGAGAGGTTTCCAGCCCCCGCCCCCCAGTAAGCCCACCAGGAGGGAGCAGGGGTGGAGGGGATCAGATAACTAATCCTCTCTCTCTGACCACAGCCTCCCTGCCAGTTAGAAGGTGAGGGGCCAGGGGATGCAGTCTCTTGCGGTGGGGGGGGGGGCAGCACTGCACGGAGCCCAACGTTGTATGGGGAATGGGGGCAAAGACGGAATAACGAACAGAAAAACAAATTTTTCAAACAGTTTTTTAAATGCTGCAGGTGAACTAAAACACGCAGGCCACCAGTTTGCAAGCTCTCAGTGAAGCCATATAGCTTACACCAGATTTTATTCCCTCTCTTGCCCAACTTCCCCATCAGGAAAATACACACAGCCACATCTTTTCTTTGGTCTAAGGTGGGAGGCAGAACACTAAGAGCGGTGAGGAGAGATCGCTAGTGCCTCCTGCCCCACACCGAATCCAGGGGCTCGAGGAACACTGCTTCTGTTGTTTATTGATCCTGACCCTGTGCTGGGGCCCCGTTGGCACCCCCCTCCCCCCACCGTGGGAAAAGTGAGGCTCAGAGAACTGAGGGGTTTGCCCAAGGTCACACAGCACCTAAAAATCAGGGAAGGACTGGACCCAGGTCTGTGTGAGGGCAGAGCCTGAAAGTTAGCTCCTGGGCCATCAGTTGTTTTGGTGAGAGTCACTTGTAGGCACCTACTCTGTGCCTACCCTGTGCCCTGGTCCCTGCCCTCGGGGAGCTCACATCCAGTGGGGAGGGGGGAATGACAGTAAACAGGTAAGTGCATTAATGAGCAGAGTGGACACTGAGAGAGGTAATTGCCAGAAGGAAAAGAAAGCAGAATAATAAGCCAAGAGGGATGGGGAGAGACAGTCCCTCTAAAGAGATAAAATCAGGCCTGATGCTTGATGATGAGAAAGACGATTTAAAAAACAGGTAAAGGGAGCAGCAAGTACAAAGCCCCAGAGGCAGGAATGAGCTGAGCGTGTTGCAATAACCACAGGAAGAGGCTAGGGTGGCTGGAGCCCTGTGAGCCTGGTGGGGAATAGAAAGAGGAGAGGAGGCAATGGTGGCAGCCAGGACACTTGTCTTCTGAAATCCCACCCCTCCATTCCCTTCAGTCCGGCCCCCTGACCCCCCTTTTGTCCATTAAGCCCACCTGTCTCCTCCTATCTCAGGGCCTTTACACTGGCCATTCCCTCTGTCTGGAACACCCTTCCTCGAGATGTCCACGTGGCTCCCCCCTCACCTCCTTCAATGAGGCCCCTCTAGTCATCACCATGGGGATGCCCCCGGCCCCTGGGGCTCCCTGCCTCCCTCCTGGCTTTGTTTTCTTTTGAGCACACATCACCATCTGATATCACTGTCCCTACACTTGATTCAGTCATTCTGCTCATTGTCGGTCTCCCGACGAGAAAGCTCTATCTACCAGGGCAGGGATTTTATTCATTCCTGTCCCTGGCTGTGCTCCCAGTGCCGAGGTCAGAGCCTGGCACATAGTAGGTGCACAGTAAATATTTGCTGAATGAACGAATCACACACAAGCTCGGATGGGTTTTCAAGCTCCTCTCTGTGTGTGAGAGGCTTGGGGGCCGTCGCACTAGCTCTTCTTCCATGTGCTTCTCATCTCTGGCTTGGGGTTTCCTTGGAGCTTTCCGAAGGGCAGGGCTGGTGGGCCTTGACCCCCAGCACCCAGAGCACATGCAGTAATCAATATTGTTCCAACTCGTGACCGAACGTTTTCCTTCACCCACAGGTGGCAAGTGTAGGCGGTTACCCCAATTATGCCGGAATCGTAACAGGTGAGACCATCAGAAGTAGGGGCCGGCAACCCAATCAATGGGCACCCCAAGACTGAGTCCCTACCAGCTCACCGTGCCTAGCCACTTCTCTCCCCTCGTGGAGCCTACAGAATAGTCAGTAAAGCCCAGCCTGAGAGGGAAGACCCTGATGGAGCCAGAGCCGGGGCTTACGGCCCACAGCCCCTACCCTCCCCACCCTGCCCAGCCAGAGGGCTGCCCGGCTCCCTGGGCACTGCCCCCCAAGTCACCCATTCTGTTCAGATGAAAAGTAAAGCACTGTGGTCCTTGCCCATGGTCTCTGATCATTCATGACTGGGGAGTGGGAGAAAGGGGCTGGGACTGAGGACGGGTCCCCTGAGGACTGAAGGGAGAGGGTCACAGACTCAAAAGCCAAGGCAGGGAATCCAGATAACACGGCCTGGCTGGTGTGAGGCAGGAGGGACGGGAGGGCAGGCCACGGGGGACTCTGGCCGGTGGGAGCGTCTGCGCTGGATTCGGCCCCCGGCAGTGTGAGACCCCTGGCCTGGTGTCCACGTGGTGCACCTACTCACCTTGGTAGGTAGTATTGGTAACTGGCCAAGCGCAAATGGAGGTCCTGGGCCCACGGGGGCCTACTTTTCTTTACACTCCAGATCCTCCTGTCACTGTGAGGGGCCCCACACACGAGTGTGGACACCCCAGCCTGCCCGTCCAAACTCCACCCACACCCCCTGCCACAAAAGACTGCCTCTGGGCCACCTCTCTGTGGAGGGGGATGCCCACCAAGAAGGCCACGCAGGCCCTGGGGAGGAGGCCCCAGAGCCGTTTGGGAGGGGAATTCCAGGGTCCCAGGGACCCAGAGCAGGGTCCAGAAGGGGTGCAGGCTCTGGTGGGCATGTCCTGAAGGCCCCGGAGAGGGGCTCCACCGGATAAGGCCAGAGTAGGCCCTCTGAAGCATGGGGCCCGGGGCAGAGGCCGCTCCCCCAGCGTAAGGGCCATCATGACAAAATACAGAGACAAGGTCCTGTTCACACGGGCTTCCATAACAAGAGTTCATGGACCTCGGGTCAGGGCCTAGTCATGGGTTATGAAATCAGCTTCGTGGGCTGTGAGTAGCATAAAAAAGAGAGAAAAAAAAAGAAGTAATAAAATAGAAAAGAAAAATATCAGAGTATATCCCAAATAATCTGACTCTTTATATACTCTTCTCACTTGTTGGCATGTTTTCATCCCACCCGTATTATTATTCACTTTTTCAAGAGATCACCTCCCTTTTTTTTTTTAAGATTTTATTTATTTATTCATGAGAGACAGAGAGAGAGAGAGAGAGAGAGAGGCAGAGGGAGAAGCAGGCTCCCCCAGAGCAGGGAGCCTGATGCGGGACTCGATTCCAGGACCCTGAGATCATGACCTGAGCCAAAGGCAGACGCCCAACCATCTGAGCCACCCAGGTGCCCTCCCTTTTTTTTTTTTTTAAGACTTTATTTATTTATTTGACAGAGAGAGAGACAGCGAGAGAGGGAGCACAAGCAGGGGGAGTGGGAGAGGGAGAAGCAGGCTTCCCGCTTCTTCCCCGTGGAGCAGGGAGCCCGATGTGGGGCTCGATCCCAGGACCCTGGGATCACGACCTGAGCCGAAGGCAGATGCTTAACCGACTGAGCCACCCAGGTGCCCCGATCACCTCCCTTTTTAACATAATACATTTATTTTAAAAGGAACAATCGTATGTGGAAAACCAGTACTGCTTCATGTAAGTAGAAAGTAGCCATCAGGATAAATCCAGTGAGGGGCACCTGGGTGGCTCAGTTGGTTAAGCATCCAACTCTTGGTTTCAGCTCAGGCCATGATCTCAGGGTCGTGAGATCCAGTGCCGTGTAGGGCTCCATGCTCAGCGCAGAGTCTGCTTGAGGTTCTTTCCTCCTCCTTCTCCCTCCCCCTCTGCTCCTCCCCCCGCTTGAGCTCACTCTCTCTCAAATAAAAAAGAAATAGGATAAATCCATTGAAAACAAACGTGTTCTATGTGATATATAGCATGTGCATGTGTGGTATGTATTACGTATATGCATAGACATGTATAATACATGTATATTATATATGTGAAATGTATAGTGTAGAATATATACATATATACATATGTATTGTATATATACAATATTTATATTCTAAAAATATTTTTGATTGGCATCTACCAGTTGCTAATCAGATGTCTAACCCATCAGGAGGGCATGTCATTCATATATATATTATACACACACACACACACATACACACACACGCACGTGAGTGGATACAAACTGTGGCATATGTTGTGATGGGATACCACTCAACATGGAGGAATTGCAAAAGCATTAGTCTGAGTGAAAGGAGCCAGATACCAAAGTGCACAGACTGTCTACTACCACTTATGTGAAGTTCTGGAGTAAGCAAGATGAAGTGATGGTGATATAAGTCAGAATAATAGTTGCCTTTACCACTATTGTGGTGGCCCTCCTTTGCGGGTGGGGCGTCGACTGAGGAGAGGCATGAGGGAACTTTCTGGAAGGACTGGAATGTTCTGTGCCATGACGGTGGCACAGGTTACGTGAATGTCTTAATCGGCCAGAACTGGCTGAATTGTACACTTAGTTTCCTGTGCTTTAATACACGTAAGTTATACCTCAAGCCCAAGCACAAAAAAAAAATTGAAAACAAAAAGGCAGTTGTGTCTTGGGTGGTGATGACCTCTGGGTCCTGGATCAGGATTCCGAAGGTGCCATGGACAGGGGGGGCCTCACAACTGAGGTGGAAGGAGAAGCTCCCCAAGGGGGTTGGTTCAGTTATTGTGAAATTATAGGAAATATGTATATTGGGTTTTGCTCCCAGTTTCTGGCACAGAGCTCCTACAACCCCAGGAACTTCCTGGGTGATAGGAGCATCTTTTGTTCTAATGAGGCAAGGGATGGTAAGCTTCTAGATGGTTCTGATCACCAGAAAGGCCAAGTTATGATCAGAAGCTTGAAACTTCCAGTCCCGCCGCCATCCTCTGGAGGAGGGAGAGGGGCTGGAAGTTGAGTTAATGGTCAATCATGCCTCCATGATGAAGCCTCCATAAAAATCCCCAAATTATAGGGTTCAGAGAGCAACCTGCTTGGTGAACATAGCCACGTGCTGGCAAGGTGGTGACACACCCAACTGCATGGGGGACGGAAGCTCCCATGCTCAGGATTCTCCCAGACCTCGCCCTGTGTAGTTCTTGACCTGGCTGTGCATCTGTATTCTTCATCATAGCCTCCATGATATAATAAACTGGTAAACATAAGTGTTTCCCTGAGTTCAATGAGTGTTCTGGTAAATAATCAAATCCAAGGTGAGGGAATCATGGGAACTCCCAATTTGTAGTCACATTTGACAGAAGTTGTGGGTAACCTGGGACTTACCAGCCATTGGCGTCAGATGTGGGGGGAGGGGCTGTCTCATGGGACCGAGCCCTTCACCTGTGGGGTCTGTGTTCACTCTGGTTCGTGTCAGAATTGAACTGAATTGTAGGACACCCCGCTGGGGTGACAGAGAATTGCTTGGTGTGGTGATAGTATAAGTGTAAACAAGCAGCGCACAGGAGTGGAGGCAAATTTTTCCTTAGAGTCAGGTTTTGGGAATCATTTGCAAAGTCTTAGCCCTGAGCCCACTCCACAAGCCTTTCCAAAAAGCTTGTCAGCTCTTCATTCCCGAAATCAGGCCAACCCATTTTTGCTGGAAATTGACAGGAATAATCTCAAAATCTCAGTGGCTTACCATGGCAAAGGTGTATTTGCACTCACACCTCATGCTCACCATGGATCAGCTGGGAGCAGTGATGTGCCCTAAGCTGATGGAGAAGCCACCATCAGAAACGTCCCCGGTCATCAGTGACAGAAAGAAGAGAGAAGAAGGTGAGACACACGCTGCCTCCGGTAGCCTCTGCCAGAAGGGACACACACATCATTCCTGCTCACATTGCATCGGCCAGAACAAATCACACAGCCACGTTTGAGTTCAAGAGGGCAAGAAACTACAATCTTCTTATAGTGAGGGAACTGGGTATTGCCACAGAGGAAAGTAATTATCTCACATACCAAGAATTCTGGAAGCAGAAACTGTATTCGGTGTCAAGGGACATAAGCCAGAAACAGCAGTGGCTTCAACAAGGTGTTTTGTTTCTCCCTCACATAACAGAACTATGAAGTGTGTAGTCTGAGGCTGGAGAAGGGGTTCCTTGGTGTCATAAGGGAATAGCACTGACTTACTGCTCTGCCATCCTTAGCATGTGGCTCTAATCCTCAAGATCACAAAATGGCTGCAGGAGCCTCTGCCATCATGTCATGTTCCAGAGGAAAAAAGCAAGAAGACAAGAAAAAGGTGTGGAGGGGAGAAGGCACCACCAGGTGAGTTTCATTCTTTTAAAAAGGGGATCCCAGGATCCCTTCCCAAAGACTTCTACTTACTTCCGATTGGCCACCTCTATCTGCAAAAAGAAATTGGGAAATGCAGTCTTTTAGCTGAGTCCATGACATGCTGAATACCATCATGGAAAACAATGGCCCCAAGGAATGTGTTGATATGGTGGGGAGAATGCTGAGCTTCTTCCAAGTTAAGGATGGGGACTCAAGCTATTTTTATTCAAATATGAAAGGAAAAGGTAATTCTTAAGACTGGAGTCTGTGGAGATCTCCAGGGGACAGAACACTGAATCTCAGACTTGGAAAAGACGTCCAGAAATCTCTCCAGCTGTGCCCTCAGTGCTCTCCATCTGCTGCCCCAACCCCTTCTGGCACAAGACCCCTTTTTCTGTTGTGGTGTCTTAACTGCAGCCTCCTCCTCCGCTCTTACATCAGGGGAGAGACGGGTTGCCAAGACCTAATGGAATTGCTCTTGGAATGCAGCCAGGCTCCTGAGCAATACTGACAAGATTCTTGTTCTGGAAGAATTAAGGCCAAATCACACTAACTGGAAGGAATCTGCTTTCTTCACATGAGACTCACGCTTTTTTGGGGGCTGTTGGGAGGGACTTCCAATGCTTGCTTCAGTGAGGTGTTGCTTTAAGGGAGGTTGGTGAGTCGGTGAGCTCCTGCCAATGGGGAGATTAAACGGCCTTTGAAAACACCCTGTGAGGTGGCTCTGCGATGTGTCCACTCGGTCAGGTTAAATGACATTTCCCAGCATTCCCCTCCCTGTACGCTTCTGGTTAGGGTGGGCCACAAGAAATGTTCTCGTGGGGGATTTGTGGGGTCGAGGTTGGAACAGCAACCATTTTATCACTTACATTAGCGGTCACTTATCTGCAACTCATCTCTTTGGTAGAAGGCAGCAGCTGGGTATGTATCTGTTCCAGCCCCCCTCTTTTAGCTCCTCCAACTCCTGCACCAGCTGCATGCCTAGCCCTGTGATGGGGGCCCTGGCTTTCATGAGACATTGTACCACCAAGGTCACAGGCAATCGGTTCTCTGATCTAATTGGATTTAAAGCCATCAATGACCCTGTTTCCAGGGGTAAAGGGGACACTGATAGTCCATGGCACGAAATGGCAAGCAGTTACTCAGATCAGTACCAGTAACTGCCTGTATCGGGAGGCAAGGCTCTGGGGGACCAAGTATTTGCTTCCACAGGACATTTTAGTAAAAATAAGGCACATAATGAGTTGGCTGGTTGCCCCTAACCGTGCTGGAAAACGTGGGGAAAGAAAATGGTGCTCAGAGCTTTTTATATCCCCAACTCAAGTGCTGTCCGAGGGACTTGAACGTTTCTGTGACTGCAAGGAGAGAAACTCTTACTTCCCACAGAGACAGGGCCAAGAGTTCTGAAAACCATGCTCAAAGTGAAATCCTGTGGGTGGCCGAATTACAATTCCCATCCAACTTCCAACCTCACAGGGTCCTTTTGTTAATGCCAGGGCATTGAATGGGAAGAAACAGGAGCCCCCAAAATTGGGATTGGCTTTGGGATATATGCGCAGATTCTAACAAGGCTGTCGAATCTCCTTTGCCCATTGAGTGATCCTGCACCCCTGCCTGGGGAGGTTAGTCTCCTCTTGCTTGAAGAAATCGTAATGGCCTTCCCTAAGGTAGCTGCCTTGCAAGGAGCTGCTCACCCTCCTCCAACCTTTTCTTGTCCTCTAAGACCTATACCCAGACTCAAGTCTCAACAGAACCCAAAGGGCAGGGAGCAAAATAGGACCTGTGAGGAGATCACCAGGACAATTGCCAATTTCCATTTGCCAATTTATATCAAAGGAAGACTGCAGAATGTGTATGGAAATGGGTCTTCGGTGTGCTGACTCAAGGTGGTGGCAGAATATAAAGTTGGATCAGGCCAAATGTATGATTTGGCCCACTAAGCAGAGATTCTGGCTTCCATGTTTGAAAGTAAAGGTCTAAGCATATCTCTGATGGCTTGCTGCTTGGTTGTTTGACTGACCTATGTACCCATCAACAAACCTTTTCTGTAAAAGGCCAAATAGTGTATGTTTTAGGGCTTATAGGCCAGTGTCAACTGCAGCTCTAGCCTTAGAGTGGAAAAGCAGCCAAAGACAATTTGTAAAGGAATGAGCATGGCTGTGTCCCAATGAACGTTTATTTATGGACACTGAAATGTGAATTTTGTATCATTTGCATGTGTCACACAGTATTATTCTTCTTTTGATTTTATTTCAATTAAAAAATGTGAAAACTGGGACACCTGGGTGGCTCAGTGGGGTAAGAATCTGCCTTTGACTCAGGTTGTGAATCCAGGGTCCTGGGATCAAGCCCTGCGTCGGGCTCTGTGTCTAGCATCAAGTCTGCTTGTCCCTCTCCCTCTGCTCCTCCCCCCTCTCGTGTGTTCTCTCTAATAAATTTAAAAAAAAAATGTGAGAGCCATTTTTAGCCTGCAGGCCATACAAAACAGCACTAGATTTGGTCCCTGGGCTATAGTTTGCTGATTCCTGCTATAGAGGACAGTATCCAAAAGGCTTGCGACCTAGAGGACACTATGCTAAGTAAAATAAGCCAGACACAAGAGAAATAAATACTGCATGATATCACTTGTAAGTGGAATCTATAAAAATCAAATTCATAAAAGCAGAGAGTGGAGTGGTGGTTGCCAGAGGCTGGGGGATGGGAGAAATGGGGAGATGTCGGTCAAAGGGCACAAAGTTCCAGTTATACGAGTAAATTCCAGAGATCTAATGTACTGCAGTGACCATAGTTAATAATACTGCATTTATTACAGTAATACTGAATTTTGCCAAGAGAGTCGATCTTAGGTGTTCTTAGCACACACACACACAAAGGTGATGAAAATGTTAATTAGCTTGATTATGGTAATTATTTCACGATATATACATATATCAAAACAACACACCGTATACCTTAAATATATAGAAGTTTTATTTGTTAATGATACCTCAGTAAAGCTGGAAAGAAACTCACACAGGCTTAGAAAGATTGGAATACTGGATGGCTTTGTCATTTAAGACTTGCTTATACACACACAGCAGGGGGGGGAGGGAGTGTTAAAGAGACACAAACAATGATCTGTCATTAGCTGTCATGTGACTGTCAGAAATAAATTCATAGGAAGGAGTCCTAGCGTCTTTGAAGAGCTCCATGGCGGCTCTTCTTTGAAGGTCAGAAATTCTAGTGGAAATGGCTGTCCTTGAACTGGGATCTCTAAATGCAATAGACATGACGGAACCAGAGGTGGCAGGGGTCCTGGGGGCACTTACACACCAAAGATAAGATGATATAGTTCCCACAGTGGATAGTGAAGCCCAACCAGTAATGAGAATAGTCTGACTTGCAGAGCTCGTTGGCATTTCCTAGTTTGTCATGGCATCCTTTGAAATGAAATAGGCGGGCAGCCTCCTGAAGTCTTGCTTGATCCGAATTAGTGGATGAGTTCTGGGTCTAGTGAATGAATTCTGAGCTGAATGACCAAAACAGAGTCATGGCGCCTCAATCCTACACATGAGCCTTTGATGAAAGGAGGGGCCAGGTTCCTTGGAGGAAGGACCCTGTTACACTGCCCAAAATGTATGCTGTTAATCTTTCTCCTAGCTCTCCAAGGAGATCTGTGGCCATTTACCAGGCAGCTGTACACTGGGGGAAAGGAAATAATCAGATTTTCCAAGCATGACTGGACACTGGGTGGGAACTGACTCTAGTTCCTGGAACCTCAGGAGCTAGTGGTTCACCAGTCAGAGTGGGGCTATGGGGGTTAGGTAGGGGGAAGTTCTGTTTCACAAAAGGCCTAACTGGTCATTGAATCCATCCTGTGGATATTTGCTCAATGCTGAAATGCATAATTGGAAT